AAACTTTCACTCAATTCACAATATGTGGCAAGAAAAACAGCAAAAAGTCTGTAGACCCCCTGCCTAAAGTTGCTCCCAGCCAGCTGAGGGAGACAGATGAGGGCACAGACATGGGTGAGTACAGAGCTGTGGGGACAAAGAAGGTTCCTGGATGGGAAGGATAGATGCTGGTCCATTTCTGCCCTCAGACCAAGGAGGAAACTAGCCACTGGTGAGCCAGGAGGTCATCCCAGCCTCTTCTAACATGAAGCTAGCCTGCTTCTTCCAGGTCAGCATCTTCAAGACCACAGTTTTCTGTTGCCCTTCTCTTTGTTTTCTTTAACGCAGGTCTTTCTTTGTCATGTTTTATAGAATGCCTATCTCAGCTTTCTCTCAAGACAACATCTATGAAGTGCAGCCTCCAAGAGTAGACAGAAAATCCACAGAGATCTTCCAAGCTCACATTCAGGCCAGTAAAGGTGTCATGCAGCCCCTTGGGAAAGAAGACACCTCTACCTACAGAGAGTACATCAGAAACCGATACCTGTGAATGGCGAGCATCTGTTGTGTCTCATCTGGAAAAGGCAACTTCCCAGTAGTCTGTTCCATCTGAAGGTCATGCCTCATTTTGTAACTGGCAAAATACAAATTTTAGATAATAAAGAAATAACTGAATATTTTGCTGGTGTTGACTTTGCTTCATTGTAGAAACACTGTGTTTAGAAATGTGGTCAATATAGTTTCACACCATCATGTTAAGAAATTGGCTTGAAAAAATGGGTACTGAAATACTTGCTCTTGTGTCTCTGCGACAGGATAGAACTGTCCCATTGGGTTTCCCAGGCTGTAATCTTTTGGGGAGTAAATCACTAGTTCTTTTCTCCCAGAGACTAGCTGATGGGTTCAAGCTGCTGAACTTTTGTTGGCAGCAGAGCGCTTAACCACTACATTGGAAACAATTCAAAACCTGCAAAAAGAGGTCCAGATGATTAAAAATAAAATATCAGAAATGGACAGTACACTGAAAGGGGAAAGGCACAGAATAGAAGAGATGGAAACCAGAACTAGCGAGCTGGAAGACAAATCTCTCAATACTGCTTAGATAGAAGAGCACGCAGAAAAAAGGATTAAAAAATCTGAAGAGAGTCTTATATTCATGCTGCATAACATGAACAGGAACAACTTAAGAATTATTGGCATTCCAGAACAGGAAGAATCAGAGAAGTCCACAGAGGAGATAGTTGAAGAGCTTCTGGAAGAAA